CCCGCATCCAGCGTACTCTCCAAACTTGGCACCGTCGGATTACCATCTCTTCCGATCGATGCAACACGCACTTACGGACACAAACTTCTCCAATCACAACGAAGTCCAAAAATGGGTGGATGAATGGATCACCTCGAAAGACATCGCGTTCTACCGTCGTGGGATTGCCAGAGAGATGGGAAAAAGTTGTAGAAAATGGAGGAAATTACTTTGATTAAGGTATTCATTCATCTTCCCTTCGAAACAAATCGATTTTCAAGACGAAAAAACGATAGGAATTAAGTTCAACACCTAATATTAATTTGACATATTACATTCTTTTACATGTATTTTTATGATATTTGTATCGTTACGTCCTCAGTCGCGTGTTTAGTTTTAAAGCGGTCTCGAGGTGCTACATAAAATCGTGGGAGCGCAAGCGCGGGGCGAAGCCTTGACTTCGGGTGAGATTCGTTTTTCGGCGTGTGTTTACGCGTTGAGGCAGGCTGCTGTCACCAGTGCCTTTGTAAAGGCACGAATTGAATTATTATTTTGTTCGCGAGATATCTCTTATTATATCTAACACTTTTTAAGCTTCCGTATTCCCTTATTATGCACAGGAAGAAATAAAAACAGAGAGTTTAGAGGAATTGTCAGATAAAGCGCCTGTGGTACACGAAGGTGTACGAGGAATTAACGAAGATATAAAAATCTCTTTCCTGTGGGCAGCTGCGATATTTTCATCACACCCTTCGCTCTATCCACGCTCTCTGTTTCCTGTGCGGGAAAGGGAGCAGGGAAGGATAGTAAAAGGCCTTAAGGGGATGCTGGAGTGTCCTGTTTTATCATTAATTTTTAAAGACTCTTTTCTCTTAATTGTGTTTGTGGATTGAAAAGTCCTTCTCCACAATTAAAGTATCGACAAGAACACAAGCTGCCAGCTACAATTTAATGCAAAAAATGAAAGAAAATAAAAAATTGTAGTTTTGTCACCGGCTCCTGCAGTCAACTCGTCACAATATGTGCTGCATATAAGAGTTTCGGATTTTACCCGTTTAAAATAAGTAGCTTGCAGTCTACAGAAAACTTTCAAGAACAATCCTATGCTTTTAGAAACGAGGTAGGAGCTTTGGTATAAGAGAAAAGAGTCGCCAAAAATTTCGTTCGTATACTACGAATAAAATTGACGTGAAGCCATGAAACCGTGCAGTATTTTAGTTGATCTCTTAGAAAGAGATCAACTAAAATAGTGCTCGGTGTATTCGTAGTATACGAACGAAATTTTTGGCGATTCTTTTCTCTTGTACCAAAGC